GGCCCATCCTGGGCCCTCGGAGAGCACGCGCCAGTCATTGGCTGGGCCAGGGAGCGCTCCGCATTCCAAGAGCGCCCCCCGAGCATCGAGCCCAGATCCTCGGGCGAGGCTGGCGAGGCACCCTTCTTGGCATCGCTCGGACGTGTGTATTTTTTTCTCGGCGAGGACCCTTGAGGAGCATCATTGATTATTTGGCGCAAAAGCCACGCACGAATTCGAACAAAAACACAGGCAATGGACGCCCTAGCGATGGCCAGGCCCCCGATCATCGAGCCTGGATCCTCGGGCGAGGCTGGCGATGCACCCTCGCAAGTGCTTTGATCCCTCCCCCGTCCCCTTCGGGGCCCACAATCCCCTTCTCTCCACGAGGCGAGGGGAGGCAAGGCGAGGGGGAGGGCCCGGACCCTTCCTCCCCCTTGCCCGTCGGTCGTTGAGAGTCGATCTTTGTGGATTCCCAGATCCCAATCTACTTCCAGCGCCTCCCTGCTTCAGAAATCGATGCGCCTTTTGCTGTGTGTGGTGCGATTCTCTGGGAGGGCCTGAACCCAATCTACTTTATCCGCCTTCCTACTTCACCTGCATCGTCCGACCGACGTGTATTTTCCAGATGCAACTTCTTCTCATTGCTCCTCCCTCCTCCTCTCCTCCTCCTCCTCCTCCTCCTCCTCCTCCTCCTCCTCGCCTCGCCTCCTCGCCTCCTCGGGCCAGTGCAAGAGTCATGCTTTCTGGGAGATTAGTCGGATTAGGGCGAAAGCTTTAGAGATCTAAAGGCCCAGTGTCATCCGCGGACGGGGCCTCCCAGAATCGGTAACTACCCAAGCGGCTGAGAGGTCAGCCGAGCTTTCTTCTTCTGACTCGTGGCTTCCGCGCCATGTCAACGACGTGCTTTGGTCCGGGGGTCATCCTCCCTCCTGGCCTCGTCATCCCCCCCCTGCCTCCTGGCCTCCTCCCCCTCCTCCTCCTCCTCCTCCTCCTCCTCCTCCTCCTCCTCCTCCTCCTCCTCCTCCTCCCCCTCCTCCCCCTCCTCCTCCTCCTTCTCCTGGCCTCCTCCTCCTCCCCCTTAGCCTCCTGGCCTCCTCTCGTCTCCCTCCTCCTGCCCAGACCCCCGACGTCGTGCACTTTTTCCACGGCCCATTCCCCTGGACTGGCTTTTCGCCCCAAGCCGCTCACGGACAAGCATCTCCCCCGCTACTTCCATCCACGACGGGAGGAGGTCTGGGTTCCTGGTCTCCCCGCCTGCCCCGCGCCCCCCCCGTCCCACAACGCCCGTCACCGAACATGTCGGGCAACGCTCGGGGCTACCTGTCGCGACCGAAGTTCGGCCTCCGGTCGCGGACCCCGATCACGAGCGAGCCGTCGACGTCTTCGAAGTTCTCGCCTGAACCCCGACGCGCCGCCTCTTCGCTACCGGAGCTCGACCCCCTCAGGTAGCGACCGAAACTTGGCGCGACCGAAGTCCATTACGGTGGGGGTGTTCGTTAAGGATTGTACCCAGGCGACTGCAGACCCTGAATGCCGTATCTGAGGGTTCCTCCGATCCGCGCTCGCTGCCAGGTGCTGCCCTGCAGCCTGGCCGACCCGCGCGCCCCCCGCGGCCCAGCCGCGTGAGTGCGCCCTCTTTCCCTCCCTCTGTCCCTGCGGCCGGCTCTCTTCTCCTCCCCATTCCCCCTTGCATGCGGGACAAGTCGCAATGCCGCAGCCCGCGTTACTCGACGCGCGAGCGGATCGCCTCCTGCCGCGTCGCGACGGAAACAGTGCCCAGCGCCCCCACTCACCACCCACCAAACCACTCCAGCCCAATCCGAAGGTCCCAATTTGCCTCCCATTCCCAGTGGGGGGGGAGGCGCGTCGGGGAATATTGACATTACCTTGAAGGACCCAACCATATGCATGTGCAGTTGCGAATACCGCAATTATGAACATCATTTTCGCCCGCGCTTCCTATGGGGCCACGAACCGTGTCAGGGGCGTGCCGACATGCGTGGCGGGGCACAACGCGAAGGAAGACGATAGGTCTGTGCGCGAGAGGCTGAGAGCGAGTGAGTCTGATTGTGGATGAGTCTGCGCGCGCGTGGGTCTACGTGCATCAATGTCGACGCCCATGTCGGCACGCCTCTCACGAGGATCGCAACCGCTTGCTTCCCGTTTTTCTTCTCCCTCTTTGCCCGTGCACGCCCACGTCCAAAGCTGCGGGCGCGGCGCCGCACGGAGTCCCCGCGACGCGCGCTGGTCGCCCCGAAGGGGTCCCGGCGACGCGCGCGGGTCGTCCGCTGCGCGGAGCAGAGAGAGCGAGCAGGCTGGCTCCCGCCCGGGATGCGCGGCCCGAAAGCAGCCTCAATACGTTGAATACGACGAGAAAATTCTGGAAAACGGAAGTCGCCGACATGCGAACTCCGCCACTGGGCCGCCATGCGAGTTCCGCCACGGAGACCTTAGGTGGAGCTCCCTGTGGGGACACGAAACGCTGTATTGGGTGGTGGATGACGCATGCGGGCGGTCCCACTGGGGTCTTCGGTGGAGCTCCCCATGGGGCCGCGAAACGCTGTGCTGGGTGGTGGATGGCGCATACGGGCGGTCCCACTGGGGCCTTCGCTGTATTGGGCGGTGGGTGACGCATGCGGGCGGTCCCACTGGAGTTGTCGGTGAAGCTCCCTGTGGGGCCACAAAATGCTGAGCTGAGTGGTGGATGGCGCATGCGGGCGGTCCCACTGGGGCCTTCGGTGGAGCCCCCCATGGGGCCGCGACGCGCTGTGCTGGGTGGTGGATGGCGCATGCGGGCGGTCCCACTGGAGCCTTCGGTGTACTGGGCGGTGGGTGACGCATGCGGGCGGTCCCACAGGAACCTTCGGTGGAGCTCCCTGTGGGGCCACGAAATGCTGTGCTGGGTGGTGGATGGCGCATGCGGGCGGTCCCACTGGGGCCTTCGGTGGAGCTCCTATGGGGCCACGAAACGCTGCACTGGGTGGTGGATGACGCGTGCGGGCGGTCCCACTGGAGCTCTCGGCGGAGCTCCCTATGGGGTCACGAAGCGCTGTACTGGGTGGTGGATGACGCATGCGGGCGGACCCACTGGGGCCTTCGGTGGAGCTCCTATGGGGTGACGAAACGCTGTAGTTACTGGGTGGTGGATGGCGCACGCGGGCGGTCCCACTGGGGCCTTTGGTGGAGCTGTGGGGCCACGAAGCGCTGTACTGCGTGGTGGATGACGCATGCGGGCGGTCCCACTGGGGCCTTCGGTGTAGCCCCCTTATGGGGCCGCGAAGCGCTGTGCTGGGTGGTGGATGACGCATGCGGGCGGTCCCATTGGAGCCTTCGGTGGAACCCCATTTTTTATGGGGCACGACATTTTGTGCTGGGTGGTGGATGACGCATGCGGGCGGACCCACTGGGGCCTTCGGTGGAGCCCCCTATGGGGCCACGAAGCGCTGTACTGGGTGGAGGATGACGCATGCGGGCGGTCCCACTGGAGCCTTCGGTGTAGCCCCCTTATGGGGCCACGACATGTTGTGCTGGGTGGTGGATGACGCATGCGGGCGGTCCAATGGGGCCTTCGGTGGAGTTCCTTTTGGGGCCACGAAGTGAGGGAAGAACGGGCGGAGGAGGAGGAGGAGGAGGAGGAGGAGGAGGAGGAGGAGGAGGAGGAGGAGGAGGACGGAGGACGGAGGACGGAGGACGGAGGACGGAGGACGGAGGACGGAGGACGGAGGAGGAGAAAGGAAGGAAGGAAGGAAGGAAGGAAGGAAGGAAGGGAGGAGGAAAACGCGGGGACCTTCTCTTCAACACGAGGACCCAACAACACAGGTTGACACATGAAACCGGTACCCCTCACACCCGAAATTTTGGTTGTCGAGTTGGGTTGGGGCTGTCTGGCAGGTAGTGCCCCCGCCGTGCCGAACATTGGCGGTCGCGGCCGACCTGGGTCGGGGACCCCCCTTAGACCCCCCCTCCCTGGCAGCCCCGCCGCCCAGGAGGAGGCGCCGCCGCCGCAGGACGCCCCGCCGCCCAGGCCATGATTCCAGGAGGAGGAGGAGGAGGAGGAGGAGGAGGAGGAGGAGGAGGAGGAGGAGGAGAGGAGGAGGAGGAGGAGGAGGAGGAGGAGGAGGAGGAGAGGAGGAGAGGAGGAGGAGGAGGAGGAGGAGAGGGAGGAGGAGGAGGAGGGGGAGGAGAGGAGGAGGGGGAGGAGAGGAGGAGGAGGAGGAGGAGGACAGGGAGCAAGCCAGCCCAGGATGCCAGGAGGAGGAAGAAGGCCAGGAGGAGGAGGAGGAGAAGGAGCAGGAGGAGGGGGAGGAGGACTAGCAGGAGGAGGAGGAGGAGGAAGAAGGCCAGGAGGAGGAGCTCCTCCTTTTCCCTCCTCCCTCCTCCCTCCTCCCTCGCAGTTTGCATGTTTCGTGCCGCAGCTCCGCCAGCGCGCTCGAAGTATGATGGAAAGCGCTGATGCTAAGCATAAGCCGCGCTCGGCTGAGTAGGATTCCCCTCTCTCACAGGTGGCCCGCTCCGCTCCTACACCCTCTGTCATCCTAACCTCCCTCCCCTCCGCTTCCCCCCAACCTTGCCGCCGCTTCGAGGCGGCGGGTCCGGCTGCTTTAGCAAATTAATTCACGGAAGTGTTTGGTCGTCCCCATGGCGCCAAACATCGCGCCCAGTAGCGTGCAAAGCGGACGGCATTGGGAGCTACTGAGCGCCATGTGACCGCTGCTCGGCGCTCCTGGGCAGTATTGGGCGCTATTGGCTATTGGGCGCTACTGCACGCTATTGGGTGCGATTGATCGCTGTCGCCCCCCCTCCCCCCCTGTCTCGGGCCGAACGAACGGGGGGGGATAAGGAAAGGGGGGGGTACGAAATCTGCTGCGTGCAGCTGGTTTTGGCCCCACCGAGGGGCCCATTCCTCGATACATAGCCGCCTCCGGCGCCGGGAGGCGCCGGGGAAGTCAGCTACGCGAGCTGCCCCTTTCGCCCGACCCGACTGTCGCGGTGCCTCCGCGCCGCCCGCGGCCGCCGAGGAGGAGGCGCCGCCCACGGAGCACGCCGGGCGGGAGGCCCGCGCAGGCCCAGGGGGGGCGGGTTGGACGCTCCGGCGGCCCTGCGTGGGGTGGGGTGAGGAGGAGGAGGGCGGGGGGCCGCGGGGCTGTTTCCCGGGCTGAGGCGCGAGGGAGGAGGAGGAGGAGGAGGAGGAGGAGGAGGAGGAGGAGGAGGAGGAGGAGGAAGGGAGGAGGAGGAGGAGGAGGAGGAGGAGGAGGAGGAGGACCAGTGAGACTTATCAACGATGTTGGAATCTACTCTCCCTCCAAGCTCCCTCTTCATAGGCTGCTGAGGGGAGGGAGTGCTCCGCCGGGGGTGGGGGGGGGGGGGGGGGGCAACCCTCCAAAAATCATGAAGCGTGCCGAAACACCATTTTCAAAAATCTAACGCCACAGGTTAAGCTGATTTGCACGTCTTGGCGATCTTGAATCGCGCCCGAGCACCATTCCTGGGACTTCAACATCGCGAATCAACGATACTATTGCGCCCTAACAGTCATAATTTCTCATAGGTTAATCATGAGAATCAAAGAAACTCCTGCGAATCTTCGAACGAGCGTGCGCGGCCCTCAGGCGTCAGCCACATTCTGAAAACGAGCCGCCCTCAATCCGTGAAACTCTTGCAACTGTTAGGGACGAATGTGCGCGGTGCTAAGGCGTAAACCACATTTTGAAAACGAGTCACCCTCAATCCGTGGGTTTCTTACAACTGCTTAAAAAAAGAATGTGCGCGGCGCTGAGACGAGAGCCACATGTTGAAAACCACCCGCCCTCAATCCGTGGAACTCTTGAATGTTGACAACGAATGCGCGCCGCGCTAAGGCGAGAGCCACATTTTGAAACCACCCGCCCTCCATCAGTGATACTGTTGCCCGTTTCTAAGCTTCAGGATCATAAGTGGTCAGGCGAAACGCCCGGCCCACCCTTTCGACCAGCCTCGGGGTGCGACATGGAGGAGTCATTAATACGGAGAACGAATGGTGGAGGAGGAGGGAATAGGAGGAGGAGGAGGAGGAGGAGGAGGAGGAGCAGGAGGAGGAGGAGGAGGAGGAGGGAGAGCAGCAGGAGGAGGAGGAGGAGCAGGAGGAGGAGGAGGTGGAGGAGGAGCAGGAGGAGGAGGAGGGAGGAGGATGAGAAATGATGAGGAATGATGATGATTATGATGATGATGCTGATGATGATGCTGATGATGATGATTGTGATGATGATGCTGATGCGGACGATGACGATGATGTTGATGCTGATGATGATGATGCTGATGATGATGATGATGGTGGGTATGTTGATGATGGTGATGTTGATGATGCTGATGACGATGGTGTTGATGCTGATGATGATGATGCTGATGATGATGATGCTGATGCTGATGACGATGACGATGATGCTGATGCTGATGCTGATGCTGATGATGATGATGATGATGATGATGATGACGACGATGATGATGATGATGATGATGATGATTGATGATGATGATGATGATGATGATTATGATGATGATGAGATGATGATTATGATGATGATGATGGTGATTGATTATGTGATGATGATGATGATGTGATGATGATGATTGATGATGATGATGAATGATTATTGATGATGATGAATGATGATGTGATGATGATGATGATGATGATGATGAGATGATGATGATGATGATGATGATGATGATGATGAGATGATGATGATGATGATGATGATGATGATGATGATGAGGATGATGTGATGATGATGTGATGATGATGATGATGATGATGATGATGATGAATTGATGATGATGATGGATGATGATGATGATGATGTGATGATGATGATGATGATGATGATGATCGATGATGATGATGATGATTGATGATGATGATGATGATGATGATGATGACGGAGGAGGAGGAGGAGGAGGAGGAGGAGGAGGGAAACGAGGAGGATGAGGAAGTTATGATGAGGAGGAGGAGGTGCCAGGAGGAGGATGGAGGATGAGGAGGAGGAGGGGAGGAGAAGGAGGAGGGAGGGGAGGAGGAGCGGAATAAGGAGGAGGGGTAGAGGGGAGCGGAGGAGGAGGGAGGATGGGAGGAGGAGGAAGCGGGAGGAGGATGGAAGGAAGGAAACCATGATGAATCACTGAATCATAAGCCTCGGGAGCTCGACGCTCGACCTCTGTTGTCGCCGCCCCTGGCGCGCTCCGCCTGTCAGGGACGGGGGCCCAGCACCGACCCGAGATATGCGCGCGGACCTCCGAGGACGAGGGAAGATGGAGGAGGAGGAAGACGACGACGAGGGAAGATGGAGGAGGAGGAAGACGACGACGAGGGAAGATGGAGGAGGAGGAGGAGGCGGAAGAGGAGGAGGAGGAGGACGACGCGAGGGCAGGAGGAGGGAGGAGGAGGAGGAGGAGAGGACGACGACGACGAGGGCAGAGGGAGGAGGAGATGAGGAGGAGGAGGGAGTAGGATGGAGGAGTTGAGGAGTAGCAGGGAGGAGGAGGAGGAGGAGGAGGGAGGAGGATGGAGGGAGGAGGAGGAGGAGGTAGAGAGGGAGGAGGAGAGGAGGTAGGAGGAGGAGTGGAGTGATGGAGGGTAGGAATGAAGGAGTGGAGGAGGACGACGACGAGGGCAGAGGGAGGAGGAGAGGGAGGAGGGAGGAGGATGAAGGAGGAGGAGGAGGAGGAGGGAGGAGGATGATAGGGAGAGAGAGGGAGGAGGAGGAGGAGGAGAGTATGAGGAGTGAGAAGGCGGAGGATGAGGCGGAAGAGGAAGGGGAGGAGGAGGTCGACGACGAGGGCAGAGGGAGGAGAGGAGGCGGAGGAGTATGATGAGGAGGAGGAGGACGACGCGAGGGCAGAGGAGGAGTAGGAGGAGGAGGAGGAGGAGGAGGAGGGAGGAGGAGGGGAGGAGCAGAAGAGGAGGAGGAGGAGGAGGAGGAGGAGGAGGAGGAGGAGGAGGAGAGGAGGGAGGAGGAGATGGAGGAGGAGTAGGATGAGGAGGAGGAGGAGGAGGGGTGAGTAGGAGGAAAAGGAGGAGGAGGAGGAGGAGGAGGGAGAAAGGGAGGAGGAGGGAGTCGGGGAGGAGGAGAGGAGGAGGGGGAGGAGGAGAGGAGGATGAGGACGGAAGGAGGAGGAGGAGGAGAGGAGGAGGAGGACGAGGAAGAGGAGGCGGAGGATGAGGAGGGCCAGGAGGAGGAGGAGAAGGAGGAGGAGGAGGAGGAAAGACGGGATACCGCGTCGTCAAGACGTGACGACGGAGTGTTTTTGGTAGCGTGTCGCTTCTTCGCCAGCGCAGTGGCTCTGCCTACCTAGCCGCCGACGCAACACAAGTTTTTGGCAGCGTTCGGCCTCTGGCGGCCGTCGCTGGGCCTGAGGGCCATCAGGAGACGACTCGGGATGACTTACCGGTCCTGGGGAAGGGGTCGGGGCCTCCAGGGGTCCAGGCAGGTTGTGACAAGCACACGACGTCGGAAATCTGGGGAGGAGGGAGGAGGAGCATGAGCACGAGCTGCATTGTAAGCATTGCGGATGACAACACCAAGCAAGCACTTACAGGTGAGATGGCCGCTAAACCAAGGCTGTCACGATTGTGCGCACCAGCTGGAAGCCCGCGATGTGGCACGTGGGGCCCACACAGAACTGCACAAACGCGCAACCCATCCCCCAACCGAGCTATGTTTAATCCATTACATCCCAGCAACACATTGAAATACGGTAGAGTGAACTTGGGGGGTGGAGGCGTTGACCGATGAATGTGGCATGATTGTTCGCTATATTTTCCGAGGCCTGTAGTAGGCTCGAGGTGCTGAAAGTTTGGTCAATGCCAACGGCGCCCCCCGCGGACACCGCAACCCGAGACGTGGCACGCTGCGAATGCACGGGATGGTGAAGGAAGACGTGACGAGACCCCCGGTCACGAATCTTGTGCAATGCAGGGTTCGCCACGACAAATTGAATGTCTGACCTTACACGTTCGCTCCGCTCTTCGCAAAGAGGGAAGAGGAGGGAGGATGATAATGGATGGGGGAAAGGGTGGGAGGAAGCGACGAGGAAGGAGTGACCGCATCGCGATGGGACTACACTCCGCCGTGGGTGGAGGGAAGAGGAGGAGGAGGAGGAGGAGGAGGAGGAGGTGGAGGA